CCGCACTTGCCCATCGTCCGCCTGATCGCACCTTTGACTCCGTTAATATTTCGGACTGCGTATATAACTAAATATAAAAGCATGTACGGCTGTACATAAATAAAATCTAAATTAAGTTGGGAAGTTTGAGGAGGATGCGAATCTAAAGACAACCTCACGTAAATATCAACACACTATTAAGTAGGGTAGTTTCATCACTTAAGCCTGGGTTCTCAAGCACACAAGAGTAGGATACCTAATCTCTTATTCTGTGTGTATACAAATTTCGTATGGAGAGAAATACAATTTTATTAAGAAAATTCATTTATATTTATAGCACGTTGGTAAGAAAAATAAATTTTTCTTCCCCTGTCCACTTCTATTTGTTGAGACCTCCAGCCGTCCCATAAATATACATATTCCATCGGTCAACGAAGTATTAATAAATCACTCGCAAGCAAATAATCACCGCGCCCGCTTAATTAAAATTTAAACGTGCCCCGTATACCAAAACGCGGCCAACATCGATAAAAATTGACGCGTTCTCGAATGAGATTATTTATTTACTAAATAATCACGTGGCCCGTGCGTTAACGGGTCCGTAAAATAGATTTTCAATTACTCTCGGTCCGAAAACGCGCGAGGGTGCGTGATCGCCGCGCCATATTGAAAATAATTTACCTACGAGTACGGGCCGCGTCGTTTCGCATTCTAAAATTTAATGAGAACGAGGAGGGAGAGAGAGAGAGAGAGAGAGAGAGAGCAGGGCTATCGAGGAGGGGCGAATTGGTCGTAAGGCTGAATACAAATGGGTTCATTTGCAAAAGAGCGAACAGTGAGTCCGAGCAACGGACAAACAGTTGACCGAGGATCATTATTATTCTTCCACCCCCCCCCCCTCCCATCCCACCTTTCGTCGTCTTTTACCACTTTTCCAAATCGAAATCTTCGTGCAATCGAGGCAGATCTGGTTGAAAGGGAAGCTCTCGAGTGAAATCAACATAAATTCAATTAACCAACGACGCACGCGTCGCGTTTCTTCCCCTCGAAACGGGAAACGTGCTGCTTTTAAACTCGACACTGTGTCATCGGATCGTTCGTTTGGCGTTTGGTGTTTTACGCGCATTAATTGCTAGGGATTAGTCGACATTGATAGTGTAACGCAACCGCGAGAGGAAAGTGACCCGGTCGGGAAAATATTTTGGAGATTTATCGGTAGTTTTCATTGTTATTTCTGCTATGTTATGTTTTAAGGTGAATTTTATTTGTTCCTTTAACTGTTCGAGGCTAGGCTCTTATACATACGCAATAAGAATGTCGAATTAACAAGAATGGGTGGAAAATGATCCTCCTGTCGATAATTAAATATAATGTATATTTTGCGTCACTTCCCCCAACGTGGTTACAAGATGGTCCCCTACCTCGTTAATGCTATTTACATAAATATAAAAGTGAGATTAAGATACTCGTGACACTCGTTAAACACTTTCAACATCCAATAAATTATCTACTGTGAAAGAGTGGCCATTAAACAATACTAACGTCTACATTAATCATGAAAATGTGCTGGTGCGTGAAAAATACGTTCAGGTGCAAAACCAAAATACGTGCGCGTTAAAGAAGGGTAGTTCATTTAACAACAACCAAAAGAAGTAGAATTCTAGCTACGTGAAAATACAGTAAAAAATATGCCAGCAGCAACGAGAAAAGATGAAATTACCGTGCGACTTCCGTCGACCAAGAAATACGAGTATTCCCTCCAAGAATACAATTTCCATGCGCGGAAAAATCGTGCTCCCGAGTTACGGCCAGGGCAAGATTAACACGTGCGCGATTCTCAATAAATTGAAAAGCTCATTGAATTTTCCGTACTCGAGCAACGAGCGGAATTTCGCCGCTATAAATTGCTAGGGCGCAGCTAGTGATGGGAGGAAGACACTTCGAGCCAGTTCGAACTTGGAGAAGTTGCGAAAGTTTCCAAGCTCGGGCAACTTCCGCGTGTTAGGCGAATTAGGGATCTTTAAAAGTTCTCCAAAGGACGGGATGATTGTTTCGATAAATCTCGGAAGCGTCGAAAGATTAAATCCGTCGACTAAGCGACGGGGAAGCTGCATTCTCTGTTGAAACAGCAAATAACATCGATATGGATTTGCTGACCCAACGAGACCAACTTCTCGCAAGCTTTTTCGACCATTTCAGATGGTTTTTTTTTTTTATTTTTAACCTCTCGACGCTCCTCGAGTTTTTAAGACTTGGAAAGCTTTACGCAGTTCCCCAAGATCTTAGAGTTCGTTTCAGATTTGTGCGAATTTCAAGAACGTTTATTGATTCGATAACTCGGGAAGCTTTTAATGTTTCAGAAGTTTCACTTGGGTTTCTAGAAGTTTTACAAATTCGAGGATCCAGCCAATTTTACGAGCTTTAGGGGGAATTTTTCGAAATTGAAATACTACTGGAGGGGCTTTAATCTTTGTTGAGAGTCTTTAAAGAGTAAGATTTGAAAGTTGTAAAAATAAGATAAGATAAAATGGAGGAACTGTCCACCAGAGATAGATAGAATTTTATACAGCAAAGATATTTAAAGAATTCTAAAATACAGCAAAGATATAACAGTCACAGTAATAGGAATCTTCAGAAACACCCAAATTAAAATGTAATGAAACTTGCAAACTAATCCTCTACAGCAATCGAAGAAATTTGTCTAAATGATTAACTTGATGTTTCCAAATAAACGTCTCATTATAAATAAGTACGTGAATAAACTTCACACATCAATGTATATAAAATGAACAATTTATTTGAAAATATGAACCCACTACAATGTGCATGGAGACACTTACATTTTCATTCATCCGCTGTGAAATACTTCCTTAGACAATTCCAACTCGAATTTTTATTCGACAAGTACCGAAAAGCTCTTTTAAAAGTATTTATTAAGATAGCTGTATCTCTGGTGAAGGTCCATTATTGTATGGTGGCCCGAGCCCTTCGATTAAGTCGAGAGCGCGTGTATCAACGGGGAGCTTTAAAAAAGTCACGGTGGATAGGTTTAAGCGTGCCATTATGCGGAGTAACACGTGGCCCAGGCGCGATACAAGCTGCATGTAGTTAGCTACTCGTTGCACGGTGCAATCTCGAAATCAACCGGCCAACTTGGGAGCACGCACGCCGATAAAAAGGGCTTCCAGTCGACGTGATATACGCGTCGTTACACCCGGAAAATATTTTCGTTGTTATCGCGCCAGTGAAGTTTCAGTGAGCGCCAACAATTATGATTCTGAGCCAGCAGATCATGTTCAACCCTTAAACCGAAATGGAAATGCGCGTGTGGAATTGCGCACGCTCCCTTAATTATTCAGACATCGTGTCTAGATTTCTTGCCGTGTAGTTTACATCCTGTGGGGAACATAGGTATACTTATCCTGGAATATACCGCGTTACACGTTTAAAATAAATTTATTGTAATTTATGATAATATTGTTCCGTTTGGAATTATAATGTCACTTCCTGTGCGGCAGACTTTGAAGAGAATGTGCAACTATCGAAAATATTCCAATGTAAAAATGAATGTTTTAAATATACCGTCTATTAACCCAACGCAATTTTGATCTTCCGCGTACTTCAAAATATCACGCTATCATGAATTTTCTAGCCACATATTAAATTCTACTTTTACAAGTAAATTAATTAATCGTCATTGATATTGCGAAGACACTTAATCGTTCGATTATTTTGGAATCTACATTTCATAGATGAAAATTCGAATCGAACCCGCAATATTACACTGTAACGTACAAATATTTTTATATTATTCCTGAGAGCCATTAGGAATCACCATTATTCTGAGCTCACGAGACAATTGCACCTTTATCAACACCCTTCACCTCGTAAACTGGAAGAACTTGGAATCCTCAAGTTCAAACACCATCACAGACGAGGTATGGGATGGACCTAGTATCGTCGAAGTCACACTGAGTTAGAGCCCTCGTGAAAAATCAGTGGTTTTCTTGCAGAGCACTCTGTGTTTTAGGAGGGTGACTCTACGAACACGACATTCACGCTAAGCCCAAAAGTTGGCGAAGGTAGTAAACGTAAACAATTCGCCCTCACGTTGCATACCTGTGGCTACAACTTCCCTATCAGGCTCAGAAAATTCTCTAAAGATAAACTCCCATTCTCATAGCTTTACGTTTAATAAATAGAAATTGGACAATTCGCGAGGACGTGTGGAACTTGAAAATAATTACTGAAGGATGTTTGTACATTTATGACAAAACATGGGAAAATATACAATAAACTACACGTCACACTGTTTAGAAGATAAGACATCCTTTCACGTGAATATCAATTTTTTACCTGTGTCTAAACAAATCTGCACAAACATCCTCGGTCTAGGGTCGAGCTGTTACTTTTAAAATACCCTATCTCCTTGCTCAAATTCCCCCAAGTATTTATTCTAAACCCCTACCAATTATGTCGCTGTCGCGTCTCCATGTGGCGCCACTACTTCGCCTGCTCGCTGAGCGCTGAAACGTGGAGCTCTTGTTACACAACACGGCCGAATAAGGTTTGCGAGTAACTGCACGCGAAGCAGCGGATGAGATTATATTACAGCGATCGTCTCGAATGGAGACGACGATGGGAACGCGTGGATATCGCGATAATTGGAGAGAAAAGCGGGAGCGAATTGGTTTAAGGGGTGAGATTTCAGATCGCTGCTCGGACAGACTGAAAGAATTACCGATGGAAGAAAGAATTTATGTACGTGGTCGAGGTAAACAAGGGTGGATACGGTGCCAGAGCGGTTTATTTGCGGTTCAATTTGCGCTAAAGTACAGATACTCATGCAAAAACGAACGGTATGTACAAAGCGTGGACGTGTGGTGCGTCCACGAACGAGGCTGGGTAGAATCGACGCAAACAAAGCAGGAGAAATTAAATCTGAAGTTTTCCTCGTTCGATCGATATAATGCTCGAAACGGGATTCCCGTTTTACAGAGAGCTTAACGGTGTTTACACAGTTTGTTTGTTTGTTTTTTTTTGGAATTGAAACAAAACGCCGGAGAACGACAATGTTTATTCTGACACATATTTGACAATAGGCATATAATTATACATAAAATGAAAAAAAAGCTTCCTCGATAAGTCCGTTTTCGTCGATCCTGAATTAAGTTACTTGTGTAAAATCATTAGCGAGAACGCCGCGAGCGATGCATGAAAATAAGTGGTGATATTTTTTTTTCGTTTTTTTTTTTCTTTAAGATATATCTTATATATAATATTATATATAGAGATACGTATATAACATATGGTAAATAAATATATAATATATGTACAAATAATACCTAGGCGAACGCCACTTCGCGTTAAGATGTCGCCACCCCGAGCCGGGACTGCCGTACTGCAACAGACACCCGAAACACTGTCATCATATGCGTTCAGCTTATGTCAGAAGAAAAATGATAATGCAGCAGCCAATCTCACACACCACGCTAACTCACGCTAGGGGTTGAAATTCGTCATTCTGATTACTCCATCGTAAAATAGAGGTTGTCCAAGCACTTTGTTCGATGAATCATTTTATAAATCTACATGTAATATAATTCATTCAACGAATAATCTTTTTTGTGATTATACGATGTATTACAAGAACACGTAATACTGTATTTTATTACGTGAATACATTTCTTTATATTTACGTAACGCACTGTGTGAACATAATATTATACTTGATTCAGTGCTCATATATATTTTTAATTTTTTGTCATGCATCATATAAATACAATGCATTTTATTCATCGAATAGTATCATGTTTGATGTAATAAATTAATGAAATTATTCATCGAATGAAATGCTCGAGAAGAGATTATTAATTCATTAGGGATTGCGATTGTCAAGAAGAATAGAAAATGTTAAAAATTTTGTCATACATCATATAAATACATTGCATTTTATTCATCAAACAGTATCATGTTTGATGTAATAAATTAATGAAATTATTCATCGAATGAAATGCTCGAGAAGAGATTATTAATTCATTAGGGATTGCGATTGTCAAGAAGATAGAAAATGTTAAAAATTTTCCACTGGAGGCTGCGTTCCAAAGATTTATTTCCAAATTTGTGCGCTTGCAGTTGATTAAACGTCGCTAACCGATCCTCGTTACCAACTAATATTGGAAAAGTTTTGTGCCACCGCATTAATATCGTGGAATTTCGTTTTTTGCTAGTATTCGAGACCGATTAAATGAGCGAGTTTATTATAAACTTCACTTGAACGGATTTGCTGCATACTTTCGTTTCAGAAATTATAATACGTAGAGGATAATATGGTTTAGTGAAAATACATGTTTGAACAGATGAAGCCTGTTTCGACTGTTGGAAACTCGTGCTACGTCAAAGTTCGCGTATCCTCGGTTTCACGTCTTCATAATTTATCGTTCGACGAGTTAACGAAACAATCCGGACGTGTAGTCTTCGTACAAAGCCTGAAGACTGTAAATGTATTTATTTTATTGCATTGCTAACCTTTTAGTTAAAGTGGACTTGAAATTTGTCTACGCGAGGCTTTGTTTTTGAGACAATGAATTTTCCAATTAATTCGTTTTATCACATTTTCTATTCGTTCTTGTTCGCGGAGAATTGTCTGTGGTGTAAGAACCGAAATAGAATTGATACTTGTACATCAATTTGGACTTTCCTTGACTATTCTTGGAATATCAAGTTTATTTTAAACTTCTGTCAAAATTGGAACCGAAATTGTGGTTATTTACGCTTTCAACCCCTGCTTCATTTATATTCTTTAAACCCTCGACCTCGAATGTTACAACGAGAATATCACTTTGAAAGAAAAAAGATTCCAAGAAAAAGGTAGCTTGTTCGTAAGAGCATTACTCTGCTATTATTGCTTAATTGCATTCAAAATGAATATTCAACCTCCTCAGATAAATAAAAAAATGTGTATACAATTATTCATATTTCTACTTTATCACATTAACTGTGGCAATATTTCCCTTTAAGATTTGCGAACAGTTTCGTTCATTCAAGAGAATATTTCTCACAGATGTTACAGAACGTTGCAACAGGTGGGCATTTCCAGAACGAGCCCTACCAGAAGAAATTATTTTAATCCCGATTATATGCCTTCGCACCTCCCTCGAAACGTTTATGCTTCTAATAATTCTGTGACGAAGCTAATTGAATTTTACAAGGCCACCGGAAATAAAACCCACCCTAATACGATCAAACTTTTATAAACTTGATTAATCACTGAAAATTAATTCGATTCGATTCGGCGTTCTAAAGCGACATATTTCTATCTTCCAATTGTCCAATAGCCATTTCTTTCAGAGAGCTATTTTCAACAACCTGAAAATCTTCAATTATCGCTTAAAAAAAACGCGAGTCTCGGATCCATTTTTTTTCCAGCAAATTTGCATAAACGTTGTAACAGTGAAAAGATTCGATTACTCGGGTACCCACTTCATTCCCGGTGAAAACGAGGCTCTCGAATCAATTACCGTCATTTCCGGTGGACAAAGAGCGCCGGTTACTCGATTAAAAGGACGAAATTCTCAAAGCAGCGGTTCGAAACGTAATCTGGCCACGGAAAATTGCAATTTCCGCGCTGGCCAGGAATAACCGCGGGACGACATAAAATATATCCGAGACCCACGGGCACGCGCGACCGTTGCTTTTTAATTGTCTTTTGTTCGGCCCGAAATCGGACTTTCAATCGCGAAAATTGCTCCGATTTCTCGCCCCTTTGCGCCCGTCATCGACCCCGTTGCAAATTTAACAAGTTCCGTCTACCGCTAGTACCGTTCAATTTCATTTTCATGGAAAAATGAAAAACACACACGAATAATTGCACGCTCTACACGAGGAGAACAAGCTTTCCTGGCTACCTTTTAGTTTGGAATAGTCAAGATGAAATTTCTGGAAGCATTAAAGAGTGGAATATTTGCTTCAAAAATATTTTTAATTAAAATTGAAAAAGTGTATACTGTACTATGATTGTTTGAGCAACATTCTGGTCGAGCGATCGTAAACTCGCAACCGAACGTTTTCGCGTTTTCAATTCCTTTTTTCTTCTTTTTTTTCAGCAATTTAACTGTATTGGTAATTGAGCGATTGGAATGAACTACCATACAATTTTACTATTTTTTGGCCAATTTTAGAGGGAAAAATTGCTGGAAATTTTCGAATGGGATAGTGCAAAACGCGAAATCCTACGGTTGAATCCAACTGCATGGATCGGTGGAGCTTCTTTCACGGTGGTCTTCGTTGCAAAAATAGAAATGGTCGATTTGAAGCCTCGCGAGGAGAACTAGTTAAATAAAATTTCAGCACTGTGCAAATATACATGTCTTTAACAGTAATAAGTGAATAATTTTTTATTTTATTCTTATTAGTCGATATGTGATAGGGCCATTGTAATAAACTCATTCGAATCTAACTCTGACACGTCTGAATGCTATGTTTCATGGCTTGGCGAGCAGGCACGCAAGTAGCGTCACTAGTTCACTTGCTCGCCGTGTTTTGAAACGATTGTGATGGAATACACACTCTGGAATAGTCGAAAGTCCGCGAGTAATATAAAACTTCCAAATTTTCAGCGAATATGTATAAAATCCACAGTTTAATTCAAATTTCCCTATCACGCAATAGACTGAACATCTATTTTTCATTAATTAAAAGTTGTATATCAACACACCACCAATTCTATTTCCTACGCAAAATCTCAAATCGAACATCCCTTACGTAAGCCTTGTAATCCTGAATGCAAACGGAAACAAGGCATTTCGCATGCGTTTCGTCACACGTTCCATGCAAGGGGAAAGAAGCTCCGAAATATAATTAAAAGTTCACTGTCACTCTGTTAGTAATCACGGCTCCCAAAGGAACGCTACAAAACGAAAGTGTAACAAGTGTTAATCATAGTAACATCACGCGACAAGTGAACACATCACGCTGTTATTGTACATAAGAGTCACTAATTGAAGAAACTGATTAGTCGTTGGGCAGAGATGGGCAAATTTTATTGGAATAACGAGGAATAAAAGATATAGAAAAAAGTATGACAACTTCTCAGCTATCGTTTCAATTTATAATTAAAATTCTACTTTACCTAAAAGTAGGTATAAAATCATCATTTTTGAATTTTGAATGGAAGCATCTTTTATTCGTCGTTCTGAATCTTTACATTTTGCCCATCTCTGATAGGTCGATGCACGTCACATGGGGAACACTGAAAGAGAGGTGTTGGAAGCTGGCGCGTCATGGCGATCTGTCGTCCTCGAAATGACCCTATATGAGGCAACACGGTCGACCTGCATGGAAATTTCGTCGACGGGAATATCGAGCGCATCCCGAAAGCGTTAAACTCGGCCCATCGTGAAAATCGTTCGGTTTTCATTGGGCCACGATTGCCGCCCGTTCCACAAACAATTATCAGAAAGGGAAATTACGTTCGCGCAACGATTTGCACGGCTGGTGGCGGCGATTCGATAGGTCCGTGCATGCAAATCGTGTTATTTTAAGGTATCGAAATCGGTCGACAGATTTTCACGATTTCGGGCCTGCTCGATTCATTGATTATTGAGTTATTCTCTTTTGGAAAATTGTGTTTACTTGCTGCACGTTGAGCCGATATTTTGGAAATTTTGTTTCATTGGTTCAACAAGCTGCTGATGGTATAATATTTCAAATATTGTTTATTACAAATAATCTCGATTTGTGTACTACCGATGTTTACTACAGGTAATTGTTTGTGTACAAACCCCTCACATTTACAAAATTTAATAACGATATTTTACTCGACAGGGTAGAATAGGTCACCCAATAATAAAAATATAAATTTTGATATCGTTGATTAAATATTACCAATGGATTGCTAAGGCTCTCTGAAAATGAGTCGAAACACGACTATATTTGGAATATTTTTATTTACACGTATTTGGAGCACACTACCCTACACTCCCCAATCCACCCCTAATAATTTCATAAAAATATATTAAAAAATTAAAAACACTATTCTTTTTTTCATCCATATTAAAACATAAAGGATTCCGTGTAAATACTTCGATGGATTTAGAGCACGAAAGAAAGAAAACTAAAGCACAGCGTTGTTTAAACGTGAGGGGTTTAATGAAGAAACAAAAATATTAGTAAACGAAGTGTCCCATACTTATACTTTGACTTCGCGTGACAAAAAGAAATTACTTTCATTCCCCTGCATAAACAGCTAATCTGAACTGTAAAGCGGCAATCTGGCTACCAACTTTCCTTCAAACGACCGCCTAATTGAGTTGTACCCCCATGTGCGAGGGAAAAACTTTATTAGGAGCAGCACGCGGTTGATCCAACGGAACAGTTTCAACGCGATTTAACCTGCATGGGATGTCAGCGAGTTGGGTATTCTGTACCTACAGTAACGACCAACAGTGTGATACCATATTCTGGCAAAAGCATATCCTACACAAGCTTAATAAGTTCCAGAAAATAAGAATTGTGTCATGTACATTTATAACGAGACTACGAAATACTTATACATCGATGGAAAAATGTTTAGGAGTATCGAGATGAAGCATTGAACTATAATATACATGTGCTTCAGAAATTACATTTGATATTAATAGATAATTTTTAATGGGACATTTATTTAATGGCCTAGAGGGTAACAATGGTCTCACACTTCTTGGTTGGTATGTATATGTAGTGATGGAATCAATAACAATATTTACAAGTACAATCTCAATCAAATCGATACTTATTAGAATCAAGATTCGAATAACCAAGATGAAGTATTTTCTGACATTCTATCCGTCTATATGTATCAGTTAAAACAAGAATTCCCCATTGAAGGTAAAATTTCCTGACATCGTACGTATTCATTCTCCATTCGTTACGCGACTAAAACTGTGACTCAAGACCGCCTGGAAAGGAGCTACATCCTGTTCCAGGTGCTAGAATCACCCCATATTTCATCGAGTCCTAGATACCACTCGCGATATGCTTGATCCCATCACTACCCACGTCGTCACGTGTTAAACTGCTCGCTGCTCGACGTTTAACGTCAAGAGGACGTCACGCAAAGCGAACAGAGCTTCTGGAGCTTTGCGTGGAAATTAACACGTCACGACTTCATCGGGTTTGATAGGATGTACCTAAACCTTGCAGCGAACCCGTCGACCAGAGTTAAAGCTTGTCTGCGAACACTATTCTCAGTTAACGACGTGTCAGATCAAGCGCGAAACTCCGATTTCGGCCTCCATTGCAGTACCCACCGACCCCTTTTGCTAAATATAAATCCGTGCAAGTACAATCTTCGGACGTTTCACTTGTCGATGAAGTCGTGGCCTGCTAGCAGAGATCTTCGGAACTTCAAAGACTAATTATTCGATAAAGTATTCACCCAGAAGTTTCTCGATCTATGTCCTGGGGAAATTAGAAATTTAGTAATTGTAGAAGCACTAAAGAGACAAAGTGAATATTCAATGGAAGAGATTGATCACGAAGAAAATTCTATTGCATGAAGAAATAATTCATTACTAAAGGAAGAAAATTATATTTGACGTTGGTTTTGACTAATAAAAATAAATATAGAAGAGGGCTATTTGAACAGAATTATTTGAAAATTAAGAATTGTTACTACCAATTTATGTTCCACATAAACCACTTGTAAAATCAATCAAAGTCTTCAAAATTAAGTTGCATTTTAAGACCACATTATCAGTGATAATCTAAGCAGCAATCCAATCAGTTTGTCTCGTAGAAATGTAACGAATCAAAGCGAAAGATAATAATTCTAATAATACTTTGAGATTCCGAAGATCAATAGACACAGGAAACACCTGTGCCACCCAAGTTTGTCAAGTTCGGGAATTATTCTAAATCTCGTCCATCACCTGAAAATGCAATTGGTTTTGGGCTCGACTTCGGACATATTAGAGTTTTTGCGGCATACTGAAAAGCGAAATTAGCGAAGCTGCAAAGACAACAACGATTAAATGGCCCAAAGAAAGAAACGCGCAGTTCATTCTGCCGATCGACCATCAGTCAATCTGTAGCTACCTTTCATTGAATCAAGGCAGGTTTCCTGTGGTTCATGTTAAAGAATCGGAACTGTAGCCGCAGCGTTAGGTCTTTCCGTACTGTTGGGAAAGAATAGAGGTGTCGTAAGTATAAGTCGCAGCTCAGACTCGTGGAGTCTCTCGTCGATGGGTGGTAAAATCGTGTACACTAAAGAACAGTCGACCTTCTATGAGGAAGAAGTCGAAACGAACTGGAGCAACTATTACAAGACTATTATCATTCGCAAAAAAATATGCTCATTTATCGTTTCGAGATCTTGCACAACCAAGGTGGACGGTGGCACGCCATTATAATCCTGTCAGTTTATCTTGTTCCCTAGAGTCGTCGAGTAACTCGAGTGTTACACGGCGACCACCTACACCGCAATGAAACGATTAACTGCAAACTAGGAAGTGGACGTAGACGCAGGGACTCCGTCTGGAAATATAATCTGTGATGTGTGTTTACTCGTGTTCAAGTGTATCCCCATTTTCCCCTCTTAAATTAACACTTTGGAGGACGTTAGAAGGTGTACTAGAGCGTACAAGATGAAAAAGGATAATGCGAGCAACTCAAAATAAAATCGTGCGAGGGATGCTTGATTGTTAATAAATATACATAGATGCTTGCTGATGGTGTTCGATGCTACTAGTAGCATTCTTACTCGCTGATTCAAACAGAGGACATTCTATTATTAACCAAGACAATTTCAAGGACGATCGTTATTAAACTATTCGTGAAATATATCGACCGATACAAAATGCACGTAAACTGGACAATCGCAAACAGAAAATTCTTTTTTCAAAGATTCGATTAGATGTTCGACGGGCACAATTTTGACTCGACATTCGTGAACATTTCACTCTACGTAAAATAGAAAATCAGGCACTAGGAACAAATTTTCAAGACTATAGTGGGAGGTAGAAACTCGTAGAAACTCGGTAAATCTACTCACTGCACTAATCAGCGCTACGTTCTGTCCCTTGAGCCACCTATAGGGATAATGTAATTTTTTGAGACTGCACCGCTCTCTACCTTAGCGCGTTCCAAACGATAGACTAGTAAACACAAATAATTGATTAAAATTCTTTCGATTTAAATTTTAACTGGGGTGAATTTTTTGGGTAAAAATTGGTGCAGGCATTCCACGTGTTTGTGTTATGCGTTTAGCCCGCATGATAAGGTGGATGCGTGAAGAGTAAAGCAGATTGAAAAAATAAATTAAGAAGCTGGCGATGGATGGGGTGAGACATGCGATAAGTGAAAAATTAAACGAAGATGATAACATTAGAGAATCGTTAAAGATACGACGCAGGTAACGTAGATTCGGGGTGCACTCTAAGGTCTCATAATTACCTCTATGCCACTAGCTAGAAAAATAATAAATGAATTTAGCAGGATGAATGGATGATGATGTGCTAGTAAAGCGCTATGTAAGACTACGAAGCAGATTCAGAAGAGTTAGAAGCATTTCATCATATGATCTCCATGGTCCCCCATACAATTGCTTCCATCTAAACGAAAAATGAAAAGTTTAAGTATCGCTATAGCTTTGATAAAGACAGTGACGTGTCTCTTTAGAGTGTAGAAATAATTAACTATAGAAAGTACATCCGCAACGTGACAAATAAGTATGATAAGTAATCGTGAAAGACAGTTGTTTTGTTGTAGACATATGAAGTGAACATTTATAACATATGTATTAAGTAGAATTTAGGAACGATATACCTAGAAAAGAAAAATTAATCGGAAAACCGTATAAGCGATTACAGATATCTTTAGAACTATATAAGTTCTGCAAAACTACTGTGAAGATAAGAAACGGACGACACTTAAGATTTGATCGATGATCGCCACTGAAACGATAAAAAATTAATTTATCTTGACCGAAATGTGTACATATCACCTAAGAAAGGTAAAGGTCTTACCTTTCCTAGCGATATGAATGACACACGCTTCGACGACTAACTAAATCAACGTTGAATGACGTCTACCACAATTCGATACATATATATATCGAAAGTTTGTTTTGTCTCAATATGACATCTTTACTCACTCCTATCAATGTTGCGTTGCAAGTGGGCAGCCACACGATGTCTAGCGTCATTGAATTCCAAGTGAAGACCGAGTCGAAGCAACGTTGGATTTTGTTCTACCAACTGTGTAATCTCCATTTCAATTTTGTTTCCCAGCACTTGTGACCTCTGCCGGTTAGAAATAGAAGCACGCTTACATTAGGACAAGAACGAGGTTACGAAACGGAAAATGAAGTAATTTGAACCGCATGTTACCTGATTGGAACATCGAAACTCTTCTATTGACTTCGTTTTGAGGAGTGCCCTGATGAGCCTCACTATCACAGATGGGCTTATGAAGTTTGTTTCGACACTGAAATATTTAACAATCAATAAAATTACCGATTTGTTCCGCCATTTAATAAAATTGGTGGGTAGTATTATACTGACTTGAGTACTCTAAGCGTAGAGTTTTTCTCTAAGGCTTCCGCCAACCTTTGCGCAGTCTTATCGGTGAGTCCCACGTTTGTTAAACTTAAAGATTCGAGATGCGTATTCATCTCCAATCCTTCGAATAGTAGAATAAACTTTTCGTCGGATATATTCTGCGAAACAATAAATGAACGGTTAGTAAAAGCTAAACTTCCTATGAAATTGGAACTCCATAAGTTTCGTATGCTCACTTTAATATTGTTCCAATTTAATTCGGTTAACGAAGCATCGTCTTCTCGAACTTGTTTGATAGTGGCGTCGATGTCTGTATCATTGGGTGGTTCCATTGGGTAAGGTTTTGGTTGACTAGCTTTCGTGACTCCATCCCAACCCATACCAATGGGCTGACCAGAATTTAATAAAGAGGCATGATACTGGTCCTGATTCATCATGGAATGGAATCCGAGAATAGCTGTATACAATAAAAATAAAATACACTTAATAAAAATTATATCATACCACACCTTTAAATGACTATGAATATAAAAATATTACCCACCGGCAAGATCGATAATTTCTTCTTGGGTAGCATTGGACAGTGCTTGTTCATATTCTTCTCCAAGATCAATAGCAATCTGTTCATCTGCTTCCTTTTCCTTTACCGATTCTTGAGGAGGTGGAATCCACTAAAAAATGAAATAGAAATGTATCAAATGGTGAGCTAATGATGATCAGTAATGTTAGTTAAAAGTTTGAAAATATTATATACCTTTTTGCCTCTAATAACACCAGGTACAAAAGGTTTCAACTCTGGTATGTCTGGTGTTTCTAAAGCCTGTTTGTTGATGTGTTCGATGAGTTTCTTGCGGTTCAGGGGACCTGTCGGACTCTTGTCGCATTCATAGCTACAACGTTCCGAGGGAGGCATAAAGCTGTCCTGTAAAAGTATTACAAACCTTGATTAAAATGCAAAGATACTTTGATAAAAATATTCACATAAGAAAATCTATGCTTAGATTTTGCAAAGAATATATGGACAATGATTTCCTTACGTCAGGATCCACTTCCTTGGCCAGCATGTTAATTTCTTCGGGAGTAAGTTGTGCCAACAGTTCATCCACATCAACGTCGTCATATTCACTCAAGTCTTTGCCATATAACTTTGCTGCAGTCGTCATAGTGGTTGTTTTGGTTGATGCGGAAGTCTGGAAATTTTCCCATGGTTCTTGGTCAACTACAGAGTATCTCCGTGACATTTTATTAGTTCTATTATTAACTAGATTAACTGATTTTGCAAAACTGACAGTGCTCTACTATCTTCTACCGAAACTATGTTAATTTCCTTAAAAAAAAACAATAACAGAACACTGTAAAATGTATTATTCTCTGTGTTTAATTTCTTCTAAGAACAACTCTGCTTCTACACAAATGGTTTCGATAATATAATATATTAACGGTTGATTTCACTCTCCTCGAATTCACGTGAATGTTGTGCGCGAAGTTCACTCAAAACAGTTGAAACAAACGGTTGTAAAGACCAGCGATGGTCAATGACAACAGCAAACAAACACGACCCAGGAAGAGAACGAATGATACGTTTTCGAGTGCAACGATATCAATGACGAGATATTTCGTCACGGTAAATGCTCGTCACCGAGTCCAAGAGTACAACCAGCCAGTGTTCCTGATCGAACCCTCAGCAAATCGACAACTTGCATTTAAATTCGGCAACTGTCCAACACGGCTGATGGCCTTTGCCCCAGATAGTTCCGGATCGATTTTCATTGACAACTCATCTGCCAAATCGACAACCCACGCTAAACGCGTAGATTCGCGCCTGATCCTGGAAAACTAGCGTCCAAAGAATGGAACTTACTGTTTACGAATTGTCCACGAGAAAAACGCACGCCGGCGATAGTACTCCAATCCGGAATTAGGTGAATCGCTCGTAATCAAATACCTCACCCACTTCTCACGACGGACGCACACTTCACTGACCAGTTCACCGATTGCGGCTGATTGCGGCAGCGCCCTTTGACGCTTATACCATATTCGTGCAAAGAATGAATCGAATAGGCTGTAGATTCCGCCAGGGGCGGCTCTACCATACACCTATGCGGAAGCTTCAGCCTACAGGCCCCCTCTAAAACCCTTTCTTTATTGATTTTTTAATTCACGGAACAGTTAGAAACGGGGACAAAAATATTTGATCTTCAGAATTGACGTGGTTATACATCATATTGCATATTATATCAGCTGTTTTCTATTATATAGAAGGGGTTAAATGTTAAAAAAAGCAGAAGAAACTTGTTTATCTAAGAGGGAAATGGTTGTCATAACATGAATTAATCTTTTCATGGAAACTAATAAAACATAGACTTCTTACTATTGAAAGAAAAGTTCATTTTTAAAAATGTTATGCCTATGTTTCACTGCAATTTGTACAATTATACTGTTATATAATAAGATTAAAAATTAATATATTCAAAACACGATATTCTAAAATTCTAGGTCCATCACTGGACTCCGGATAACCTTTATAGTTTCTCAAAGAAATTTCTTCGCGGTAACTCTAAATGGAACAGCTTTTTACGCGCAAGAATATTAAATTTATATTTAATAATTGTTTCAAAATTGGAGAAGATATTCATTTAATTTATTATTCTAATAATTGGACATTAACCTTGCAAAGTGTTAAGATGAATGAAGTATACGAGAAGCTAGCCTATGGGAGAAAGTTTCTGCGCGCTTAGCGTCGCGCAGGTATTGACGTTGGTTTAACACCCATGGCGGTTGTTTCAAAACACGCCCATATACGTAGAACGAGTACCAACTGCAGAAACTTAAATACGAGAACGCGAGACTAGGAAGTTGTTCAGGTTTCTTCCGGTACGGGGAAGAACCTTATTGTTTAATATGGAATTGTACTCTTTAACACGTTGACTGCCAGAGAAATACTCTTGAAAATTTCTGCTAAAATAAAATATTATTCAGACTATTAGAGACTACATAATCAAACATCCGTCGTGGTATTTAGTTTTCTAACTTCATCAAAATACATGAATTTCATTTAAATTCATTTCCTTTGAAGGTGAACTTTCAGAATTAATTGTTTTAGTTCTTCAGTGAAAAGCACTGTCACCTACATATGGGTGACGTGGCGATCAACGTGTTAAGACCCAAACCGGAAGGCTTCATAGATCCTAATCACCTAGAAAAAGATTTATTCTAAATTATACGAATAACGCCTACCTCTGTCACCAAGTGATTTATAAATTGAGTCTTCGAAGTTTTAAGGCTCATCCTTAATGACCAGACTTCCAAAGCTCGCGTATAAATCTTGAGCCTCGAGCCTAAAGGGCTTGAACTATACCGCGAACTCGGACGTCATTTCAAAAGCAATACAACAACACGCTCTTTCAGAGTTAACCGTATTTGATAACGATTTCTAATCGATCATTCATTCGTTTTGCATAATAAAACCCTGGATCAACATAATGAATAACAATACCTAAATAATTTCATCGCGCGGCAATAAAATGGTGACGTTTAATCAATTAAAGGAGCGATCCAGCGATCGAACCGATTTCCCAAAAGAAGCGCAACGCGTGCGGACCTTCGGATGATAATTAACACGATAAATCAATTCCACCCAAGGTCACGTGCAAGACCGTGGAGTGGGGAAAATCTGCATTGGTGGGAGGATTGCGCAGGCTTGGTGCTTGGTGGAGAAGACAGCGGCCATCTCTGTCGTTCCTCGGTCGTGCAGTTTTGATTAGAGAGCGTCTATCGCGCGTTGTAGCGCTCGTAGCGGCGACAGGCTCAAAAATAGCTGAGGCCTCCTCGCAGGCTGGCAAACTCCCAACGGTCTATACTTGGACATCCCCGCGCCATGATTATTTATAGTGAGCGCGAGCGCGGCCACTGGCCTTCTCGTGAACTAACTAGCCGCCACCAAAGACGATCCGTCGCCCGTGACCTAGGCCCGCATTAATAACGATTACACCCCTGCGCTCAGGAATACGGCAGCTTAATCTCTCACCGCTGCTCCCAACGAATGCATGTCTTTTTGTTTGATCGCACCAGCTTATGAATGGTTCGCGTACACCTGAAATACGTGCGAGCTCTGTTATACTTAACTGGACAGGCGCGCGTTTTAACGTTCTAGATCAGCTCGAAACTTTCAATCCTGCGCTAGGATATCAGACGTATGCGTGATGTTGCTTTCGATAAGAAGATGCACACTGGAAGTCAGTTGTGATATGAAAGTTCCTAGACTATTAATGCATCCTACTGCGAATAACTTGCATAGCTATGTGTTTATGTCGGTGGTTCACGTACCAGAACTGATTTCCTGTTTTTAAGCTCAGAATCTATTGCTTTCCCTCGTCCGATGCAATACGAAGCTTCCCACCGAATACTTTTCTCACACAAATGCAAATATACTTCATATCAATATTTCCAATATAGAAACACGACTAAGCTAATTTTTATTATCTAAAATGTAGTAAAGTGCTATAACTTTGTCTTCTTCCATAAAATGCCCTCCAGAAAGCACAGACACCGCTGGTTCGTGAAAAGACGATCCAACAACGATCACTTAACAGTGTAAAAAGATATCCCGAGGTATGTCTTCGAATCTAGATTGAAACTTTCAGTGCTCCATATATAGCGCGAGCTCTCGCTCCTCGCGAGAAATCTGCTAATTAATTTGCACGGTTTTCCAGGAAGGTTTATTCCTGCGCGACTGAATGAAAACCGCTCGCGGCTTACTTTCACGGTCACGAAAAAAAGGCGAGTCTCGTTTTCCGTCCAGCGCATCGCTGCGATATTAATTTCGCGCCGCTTAACAGCCTCGTTGAATTCCTCTCGGCGAGCCGAGACCGCGACGGGAAAAATTTATCTGTCCTGCGCGAGATTTTAATGCCATGGCTGTCACTGTTTCTAATAATAACGGAAACAAAGCCAAGCCCGCTTGACGCTGGTCCAGAAAGCTGTATTACAGTGATCCGCGAGAGCATTTTGTTCGACGTGACAGAAACACCTTGTCTTTTTGCTTCGGGATCTTGTGCCATTTTATTGATGTGCTGAGAAGGGAAAGAGCGTTGTTTCAGAAAGAATATACCTTAGGGTTTAGACCTAAGGAAACTATTGGGTTAGATGGAGATTAAGTTCAATTAAGGTGGAAACTTAGGCGTAATTCAGATAGAGACCTGAATTCAATTCAGGTGAAAACCCAAGTTTAATTCAGGTGGAGACCTGAGTTCAATTCGGGTGAAAACTCAAGCTTAATTCAGGTGAAGATCTGAGTGCAATTCAAGTGGAAACCCAAGCTTAATTCAGATGGAGACCTGAGTTCAATTCGAGTAGGAAACCTAGGCGTTATTCATGTGGAGACCTGAATTCAATTCAAGTGGAAAACCAAGCTTAATTCAGGTGGAGATCTGAGTGCAATTCAAGTGGAAACCCAGGCTTAAGTCAGGTGGAGATCTGAATTCAATTCAGGTGGAAACCCAAGCCAAGAAACCCAATTTCAGGTGGAGAGCTGAGGTTAATTCAGGCCCAGTTGAATTATCCTCTGAAACAGTAAGATTCAAACTTGGACTATTACAAACTCAGAACTGTCTCTTTCACGTAGAAAGTTGTACCACTTGGTTGAATTACGGAGAAAGAGGACTGTATCGGAGACAAGTGTTTAAATTCAATGGAGCGAAGGCTACTTTTCCCAAGAGTACATTTCAATAAAATTGAGCCGGTTTAAGTATGGGTAATTAAATCGCTGAAGTGGAAGCAACCCAATCAGGGCGATCTATCCTGCGGTGGAAGCGCGCTAATGGGCCGTGCACGCAATTAGGGACGCGTGTTTCCTCAAAAGCGCGTCTAAGGACCCCACAAAGCCGGCGTTTCAGTCAGACGAAACGGGATTCGCGGTATCGCGCATAAAGGAAGTCGAAAAGAAGCGGAAGTCATTTTCCGGGCAATGCGTTTGACGCAGTTTGGCATGGCCATGGTAATTAACGTGGTCCTACCATGAAACGTTCCTGAAATTCTGTTAATGAGGTTGTAATGTATGAAGTATCCGTCTCCTAGGTTGGAGCAAACGTATTTAGAAGAAAATCAATTCTTTTCAGCACATAGATAGAGAAAAAGTAAATTTTTTAAGCAAATGAATACTAATGCTAATTACTATTCACTATTAAAGAGCAATAATGCTTCCTGACACTTCATTATTCGCAATCACTTAAATATTTAACCACCAGTGATCTACATATCGAACAATATAATCATACCTGCTCGAAAAGAAAATATTAAACGAATATGGAGCCACAGACCTAACAGAAGACCCAACAGTTCTTGTGTGTTTTTTTTTTAAGGTATTAAATAATAATTTTTATTAATGAAATGTAAATATATTACAAAGTATATCTTAAAGAACTATCAAAGAATTTTTGTTTTAAAAAAAGGTTAATTCATTTCGTCATAACAGGCGATGGCGTGGGTGGCCACTTGATTTGCGGTGAGCAAGATTTCTTCGAACTGGTGCACCTGAAAACAAAACTAAAGGTAGATTTGGAGAATATATTAGACTAACGGGTCCCTGATCGAAGGATTTTTTATTTTCTTGTATACTTTTCTTTTTATTCTGTATTGAATTGCTTAATTTTAGTGAAAAAATTGAAAATCAACTTCAAATTTACGCCATCTTGTTTTAAATTAATTTTTTCCAAAATCCTTCGTTCATGGACCCGCTAGACTAATCTATTTTCGAAATCTACCTCTGTTTTTGTTTTCAAGTAAACCAGTGTAGACAAATCTTGCTCACCGCAAACCTATGTTTTTAAATCATCGTCTACGTCATCGGCTGTTATGACGATATAAATTAAACGTTTCTTAAAACAAAAAATGTTGTTTAGTTCTTTAAAACATGCTTTATAATATACTTAATTGTTGCTTATTCAAATTATTATTTAATAACTAAAAAAAAATCACAAATGTCGTTTTTCCTCTTCCTGACTGCGACTAACCCCTTAAGCTAGCAGAAAGCGGTGCACGACTTTAGAAACGCGTGACGAGCGGTAACGTTTAATTAACAGAACTTATCGACAAGTTCTGATAAACAACGTCGAGCCAGAGGCCTTCTACGGCCAGACGAGGAATTACGAAACGTGATCTCGCGAGGATTCCACGGCTAATCGAGAAGGTGCAGCATTCTTGCACTTTCAGGTAAACACGGATGAAGTAAGAGCGGATTTCTAACTTGCCATTTCATCGGGACTCCCCTTCGCGTGTTATTCGCGTAGAGGATCGATGATATCCTTGGGGGAGATCATTAGTTGCGATTACTTCGCTACCCACGCGCGAGTTGCATCTGCAAGTCAAACTGCTATGTTCAGAGCTGCTCGTCTAACCGAAGAAAAATTCATCTTTTAATATATCGGGTTGTCTGGAAAGTTCATATAGATTTTCGATAGGTGGTACGGCTCTGAATACATCGAAATGGTTGAAAACAAATAATATGTATACATCCCTTAAAAGGTAGAAAGCTTGTGAAACAAAATGGTACCTATGTAATTCAATAAATATATATTAGGTAGACTGGAAAGTAATGTCGTTTTTGCAATTTTAAATACTTGTTCATCACTTACAGGATCATTGATTTTTATCGATCTGACATTGAAAATTTGCACACTAGATGGCAAAAAGCTGTTAATAACGAGAGCGATTACATAATTAATTAAAAATAGATATTCATTTAAAATTTGTTTGGATTTAATGTAAAAAAGAAAAACGACATTACGTTCCAGTCCATCTAATATCAAAATTCAAATGTGTCTTTGAATTTTTCTTAAAAATTGCCACGAACTTTCTACACAACCTAATACGTCAGAGTATTTATATAGGTAAGTATGTGCATGTATTTTATAACGTGTATTCTATAGTATGTATAATATAATTGCAAAATGTATAAAAATGAATAAAATACTTGAAAAGACATCATCGAATTAGGACAAATTTTAATTCTGTTATCACACGTGTACACGGAAGCTTGACGTGTCGCGGATAATTTTATCTCACACGATTAAGTCATGGTTCCACTTGCACAACAAGAAGGCATGAATATGCAAAAGTAGAAAGGAAACAGTTTAGCACCCAGTGGATATTTTACTAATTAATCAATTAAATCGTTTGCTTCCCAGTAAATGTCACAATCACCATGTGACAGTGATAACAAGAATTTTACAGACGATGCAAACTCCATTGTGCTAATATTACGCATAAAAAAATACACTACTGCACTTTATCTATCAAATATTGTCCACCATTATCAGAATCGTTGACTAACTACACAATGGCACAAATGATAATAAAAACCAGACTGGAACTATACGAGAGTTCTACTCACTTCTGCTCCACTCGAGCGTTCGCAATCACTTCGATACTTGAGAAATTACCCCGAAACTACGTCACGTACCGTGCCAATAGCGAAGTAACCGCGATCGACAGCTGCCAGTTGGTTCCAACGAAGCAACGACTGCCGTTAAGTTGTTGCCCTGTTAGAACTCGCTAATCCAGCAGTAACCGTTGTTGCAGCCTTCACGGTGCGTGGATTTTAACGACCGTTACCTCGCAAACGAACCTCGAAGATCGCCAAACGCGTTTCCTCCGATCAGAAGAAGCTAACCATTCGGGATGCAACGTGGCACGACCGTCAGAAGTCCGCGAGAACAAGCGATCTTATTCCAGCACTAATTAGACCAAGTTAGGAAACTAATTGACTCGTTACACCGTCTTCGTCGCTGCGCGTTATAATGCATGTAATTATTTATAAGCCAACGTTACGTTAGAGACGCTTTCGAGGCGCAAGTACGCACTGAGCTCGAGTCGAGCAGAGGGTGAAACGTGAAAGTAGAGTTTCTTGGGTCTGATCGTTTTTTTCTTTGAAAATTCTTGTCCGCTGGAACGAGGTGTTCGAGCTGATGTGACATTTACGAGTGGATATGTTTCCTGATTGCGCGCGAAAAACAGGGGAACTTGCGAAGCCAGTTTCCTAGGCCGATTGACAGAATTTGCGTGGCTAAATCTAAGCTTCGTTGGAAGTTCAATAAAAAATTAAGAATTAATGTCAAGTACTAGGCTGCACTAGCAATCGTGGTTATTTCGTTGGAGCCTGGAACAGAATCTTTCTTTCGCAAACAGAATTTGTTTTCGAAGAATAGCATATGTCTCATCGTATTACATTAGGTAAGCTGCATTCCTCGACTCTATTCTTCTATAGAGACAAGAAAAAGTTTTGCTCAAACTGCCAACCTCCTCAATAAAAAAGAAAACAGTTATTAGCTAACTAGTATTACCATGCACCTAAATAATACAAGATTACTGTTCTAGGAATAGCCTATGACTAAACCAATCCGACAGGCCTGAAGAGTTAGTAATCATCAGCAACACTGTAACCAAACCATTCTAATTCCGTATCGATTTTCCCCCTACGCATCTTCGCTAACATCTCGGATCTCGAAGCAAAGCCATCGGAAATCGTTGAAAGAGATAAATGTCGGTGGGCAACTGTTCCCGCCAAAAAACCGTTACACGCAAATTGTTTCCACTCGTACAGCGCAAACATCGAGACGTTTGTTTGGCTTCCGCGATTCTCGAGTAAATGTATCCTTCCGATCGATGCATACCTAGAGTCGATTTGTGTATAAACAGATCCTTATTGGCGACCCGCCAGCTCTGTCGCGAAGCTATTGGAACCGATTTGGCCCCCGACGGGACACGCCGGTCCCGTAATCGTGAAAGTGTATCGATCTCCGTGATCTAGGCCATCGTGTCACCTTTTCAGTCCGCGGACGATCAGCTGTAAAACGAGTCTTCCGCTTTCTTGCGTCCAAAAGCGAGGAAACGCGATTGCAAACAGTTATGGTTCGTAGATTCTCGAGGGTTGGTTCATCTAATTTTTTCGGAGCAGGCTTGAGGGCTTCAAAGATTCCTATTGGTCTCTTCTAGCAATAATAGTATGATATAAACAGGTACTTCGAAAAGAGAGAAAGGAACGTAACTTTGTTTCGGATGGACGTCGATTTGCTGGTCATGTGGTTAACTATTTTAATCAGCTGAACGTTAGGAGGGCGTTTTGGTCGAATATTGAGGTGTTACTCCATTGGAAAATGATTTGGCATTGAAAAATGGATAAGAACTTGCTGGAAATTGGACAATTTTCAGGGTCAGTGATTTTCTTCGGAGGATAAGTTTCCTTTCAGCACTTTCTATTGATTAGCGTCGCTTTCGCTTTCTTTTCGACACGCCTCATTAATAAATAAGAATTCTAAAAGGATCTCCGAAGAAAACCATTGCTTGCTCTTCTAATTCTAAGCATTAGTGCAGGACAGCCATGTCTATGTATGTAGCCATTGCAAATGGTAATTTCTAATGTGTTGCATGAAAGTTAAGCTTATTAAAGAATGGGGATGATTTACAATGAAATAGTTTATCTAATAAATTACCAGACAAATTGCGTATAATATTCATCCTTGAGAAGACTACCTAAAAAGCATCCAAAGTCCGACCAACAGCTCGCGATGAATTCCGCAAAACAGCATGAGCTAACCGCTGAACCAAACATGGACCACTGGGATATTATCTACCTGTTAATTTACACAAGCACGAATCAGTTCACCAACTGTGGAATTCGAGCGAAATGCGGATTGAAACATCCAATGAGTGAAATCGAGCAATTCAAGCGGGAGGAAAGTGATTTGGTATGGCAACGTATGTAACTGGGAGAGTCGCTATAGTCGAAAGAAAACAGAAGTGGAGATACCTATACCATCGACAGGATCTTAACAGTTTTTATAGCTCACTTCCAACCTTCAGACAGAATCTTTGAATTTTCTTAAGTGTTAATATTTTTTTTTAAGTACTCAAATAACTGCTTCTTTGTGGAACAAAAATTGAACTTTGTATGATAGTCTGAATAATCATACCAGAATTTGTCATTTACACTTTTCAAATCATTCGCTAGTATTTTCCAACCTTTAGACCACCTACCCAACAGAATCTTTTAATTTTCTTAAGTGTTAATATTTTTTTTAAATTGCTGAAATAACTGCTTCTTTGTGAAACAAAAATTGAACTCTGTATGATAGTCTGAATAAGCATAGCTTTATCGAACAATTTATCATTTGTACGTTTAAAATAATTCATGTTAACCTTTTAAAGGGTCACGAAAAAAAATATCGCTCTACATTTTTGACTCGTTTGTGCGTGACTAATTAGCCATATTAGATTCGTACTCTTCTTGCATAGATCAGAAGGTCTCGCTTGACGTTCCTCCGTGTGGCAGAGTTTCCTGTTCGCGAGCACGTCGGTTGTCGTAGGTCAGCGATTCTCGATACGATCTTCCGGTCTTTCTACGTGACTTATAAATACATTGACGGCGCGTTCCATCAGCGATCGACGAACGCAGAGCGACGCCATGCGCGTCGAGGCGCATAGCAGAACGCGGAAAACGTTCCTGAACGTTTCGACGGTACAGGATGCTCCAAAACAAAAATATTAACACCTACATATGAGTACCTTTCTTAGAAAAAAGAACTGAATACATAGTCTATCATAAATCTTGGTCTCTACTTGGTCACTTTGTTTATATATTCTTGGAAATACTATTTGACCACGCGAACCAAAATGTCAGCAGTATTCACCACAAAGTATTTCTAAATCACAAATTAATTTCATTAATTCTAGAATTCCAGAAAATACCATTCATGTTTCCTCTAAAATTTCAATCAAGCTCAGCATCAATATTCACTTCACAATTCTAATAAATCGTCAATTAATTTCGTTAATTTTGCCTTTGTTATTCACATCAAGCCCCAGAAAATATCATGTATTCCACTAGAATTTCAGACACAAAGAAATTTAGAAGAGAAATTTCCAACTAGAATTCTCTACTTTTCAACCACGCAATTTTGGAACACCCTGTAATAGCACCCCATGGAATTAAATCAACGAAAATCGGCGGCGAGGGTGGAAAGGAAAGCGTTGTTTGATCGATCGAGCCACTTGTACAATTAATTGATGCTGCCGTTTGGCTGCTAGCCGCTGTATTATGTCACGTAGGCCGCAACAATAATGGCTTGCGAAACGAGCCACCGTGTGCAGACCAAATATTGGGACGTCGTTAATTAACAGCAGTTTTCTTTAATGGTCGCCCATGCCAGTGAATGCGCGCGCGTTGATCAATTATCGCGACGGATCGAACGATGCTGCATTATTCGTCGATCCAATGAATAATCCCGACGAGATGTAATTGAGAAGAATCACCGTAAAACTTGTACACGTGCTCGCGATACATCGCACCGATTATTGCCGCGACGAAGTTACGTTTAATGTTCGTTGGCATACGCGTCGCAATTAGTACGAGAAATTAATACTAAATTGATTTATGGGACATCAATGGGGCCTAATTGATGAACTAGGCGAAATAAAAGGCAGCGATGGTGGAGAGTTGTCGAAACTGAGGAGTCTATCGAAAGCAAAGTGGATTACTTTGGGTTCTGAGAGGATCGTTTAGTGATGATGAGATTAACAGTTGTTAATTTGTTATTTATATAGTGGTTTTTGGATTGAAAGGAAATTTTGAAACGATGGAATGATGATATAAAATGCAGAAAATGGCGATGGTGAGGAAAATTGATTCTTATGTGAAACTGAGAAATTTCCTGAAACCGAAGTGAATTACTTGCTTCTGAGAAGATTATTTAGTGATAACGAGATTGAATTGAGATAAACGAGACGTTGAGATCAACTTTCTACTCCTTTTTTCCATCCTAATTTTCCACGTTTCGAAGACCATGTGTTCTTCCATGCGAGTGGAGATTGAAAATGATACGGTTCCAGTCATGGCGATATCAATGAATGGTAAGGTGATCGCACTGTGCATGTAACGATATACATTTAGGTGAAATTGAATATCAAAATGTTTGAAGATCGAGATCAACTTTCTAACTTCATTTTTATGGCTTCCAGTTTCCTTCCAACATTCGTGTTATTTTCAAATCTCCCTCAATGTTGACAAATATTTATTACAAAAGACAGGTGTTTATTCGTCAAACTATGAGCGTCTGAGGATCAAACTAAACTTACTGAAGAGTTCTGAAAGAGTTAAGTCAAATAACACACCTCGAATAAACATCTAACGCTGTATGTAAAATGAAACGAACCTTTATAAAATAACGAATACCTCAACCATTCAGTTTGCTTCAAGGACCCACGTCAATCAAACACTGTTCGTTTATTTCTATCATACACTCCTGAATATTAGGCTGCTGCACGACTTCTTTACGAGTAATTATTTCAAATATTTTTCTAATTTAATGTTTAGTGACTGAACTCGTCCAACAACCTAGTGCTCGATCTTCTCGCATCATTTTTCACGCATAAAATTACTTACTCGACAGGAGTTAGAAAAACGTCGACCTTCGACTACCAAGTTCCCTGAAGGAGCACGTCGATCGTGGATCGATCGGTAAACTGAACGATGAGGCTAGAGGAAGACACCAGGAGTGGCACGCGTACCAAGACGAGGCCTCTGGAGCTGGAGCGCTACTAAACAACTGACTTTTATGCTGGAGGCTCAACGAGTGGACGCCGACATGAGCTGTAGTGGTATTGTGCGACACGCTAGCTAGCAAACAGCGATGGAATCGAGCTACCATAGACGATTCCCCATACACGAGATTCAGCAGATTTATACTATTTTGCTCTGTCAATTTAAAAGAAAATTAAAAAAGAAGAAAAAGATTAAATGGAATGCACATAGAAACAAACGTCTAATCCTGAATTTTAAAGAGAACATTTGTTTCACACAATGGCGAAACATTGGTGAAATATTCATACACAGCAAGATTGTTTTATTAGGTCGTCCCATAAGTTCATGCCACTTATTTTTCTGTTACTCAAATTAATATATGAAACGTACCTTTATGTGTTGTAAGAAAAGGTAATGTCTCTCGTTTTACAATATTTTTCCACCTTTCTGACATAGTCACTATACAGTCACTATACAATTTCTGTATCATTTTTTTTGTTTACATATTGGCTCAGTCTGCAGCACGAACTTGTGGGACGACCTAATACTTTGAAATTTATTTTTATGTAAACAGAAATTTAACATTGAATCTTAAAGTGAAGTGACTGGAGAAATATTGCTTTAATATTCTAAATTAAATCGTAGTTTCTATGCACATCTTATGTAATCATTGTTCTTCCTAATTAATTATCAAGATTTTATTTAAATTATAGTGCACCTTGAGAATAATTTTTCCACCTACCAACCTCCAAATTTTCCCAACCCATGCTTTAGTTTTTCGAGACTCTATATCGCCCTGGTGTAATATATTTATCGTAAAAGACAGTTTGGCAAGTATTTAATTTGCTCGGGAGTTTCTTTAGAGATACTCGAATCCATCGCTACTAGCAAAGTCTACAAACAACCAACGATTGCGTTCAACGACTTTCACTGCTCGCCCCGAGCGTCTCCATAGACGGAGTGGCTGGTTTTTCATCGTTTTCACGCGGGAAAAACGCAATCGTAATCGTTACCCCGTTCGTGGCAATTAAGGACGTCCGCTTTTCAACCTGGCTTAACTCGATTTGCCTCCGTCCACGTGAATGGCTGCTATTAGCGGGAACGCCAGAAGCGACTGCTTCGAATTACGCGATGGATGGGACTTGAAATTATGCGTTAAATGTACCAGCAAGAGTTTATGTACGGGACGACTCGTAATTGCATGTGAGCACTTCAAGAGAAACATGGTGAGCAAACACGGTTGAGGTTCTCTACAAGGGAGGATATTCTTCTTAATGAGAGACATCGCATTCTGTTATTTGTTATGCACTTTTATGACTATTGTATATCATACATTTTTGAGGGGAAAAAATATGTTCTTCTGTTCTTCTGCGGAGAACATGCAGTGGGTGTAGAATGTATTCGTACACCAATCAATTTACCAAAAAACTTTTGTGTGAAATTGTAGTTTCTTAACTTTTTTTTTGTAATCAATGATATGTTACATATTCTCGGAAGTCTCTAAAGTAGATATAGTCCAAACAACATTTACTAATTAATATAATTTGTGAAATTAACAAAAAGATGCGAAAAGTGGGTAAAAGTATAGAAGCAATAAGTATTTGTACGATTCTTATGACGAACCATTTACAGTAGAGTTTGTAACGTAAACATATTAGTTCATTGCTCCGTACGAATTAGAAAACGTCATATTTCCAGTAAAGTACTTTTAAACAGTTGTGCGAATATTTATTACTTCAATATTTCTATCGATTAATTGTTTTTTTCTTGTTAATTTCTCAACTTACATAAATAGCTATTCTGTTTGTAATCTATCTATTTTAGAGATTTTAGAGAATATGTAGAATGTTATTGTTTATAAAAAATAAGTTAATAAATTACAATTTTACACAGTTTTTTTTGGAAATTGATCGGTGTACGAATATTTTCTACACCCACTGTAAATGTTTCCAAAATTGTAACTTTGAACTTTCAAACGTACAGAATGTTGAATGTAAATAATGGTATGTCGTCATTGCGCTACGAATGAATCTTAAGAAAAGGTATGAAGTATCACGTGAGAAAATAAAGGAGAATAAATAAAATATAAGAGGATTGTGTAGAAGGGAGAAAAGGAGAATTAATGTACAGGTGGAAGAAAAGAAAAATATTATGTAAGAATTAGAATAAGCATGGTCATAACCAAATTAAGTCATGTACTAAACCCCGAGTAGAATAAATAGAACCATAACCACACATTATCATCATTAAACAACAATATAACAGAATAAAACAGGACGAATAAAGATTACACTTTAATCCTCATGGATAATATTTAACATTCATACCTTCATTCAGCCTCCCCCTAATACTAATATTTACTCGATACAATACGAACATTTCTGTAAACTATTCATCCCTAAAACGTTACTGTTATAGCGACTGAACTATAGCATCGGGAAATATTAATATACTTATAATTAGACTGCGGATCTTTATGCAAAATAAAATCTTTGTAAACGTACCTATAAAAATTGAACCTAAATAGGAATTTATTTTATTCTGCAAATATTATAACATGAACTTTACTTTCAATCTTTTTTATATTCTTGCATATTGTTTACATTTTGTAGGTTGTTGCACATTCAAATTTCCTATAAATGCATAAAGATCCGCAGTCTACTTATAATATACGCTTTGTTGTTATCGATCTATCAACATCCCACGATACCGCTCGACCAGGCTACAATTCAGATCTCATAGATCGATAACAAACGATCGAACGTTTACCTGGAAAATATCAAACGCGAGAAAGCAACTCGATAATCGCGAAGAATGTCGCAGAAAACGCTGAAAACGTGTCGTCGAGGGAATGAAGAGAGATGCGTTTGCAAATGATCTTGAGATTTCCGCGGCATTTCTACGTAACTGCCAGTATATGTAGGTGCGATGAGGTCACTCCGCGAGACTGCGAGATGATATCACTCGAATCTCGAGGAGCAACGATTTGTTTACCAGGCGTGAAATAATTTCTTGGGCCGTTATTGTTTTCGAGATTCACGCTTCGAGCGTAAGGTGCAGCAAATATGGCGCGAGGACAGTATTATCGCGCTCCCAATGCAACGTTTACGTATTCGCGTTACGTCGATGAGCAGAAATGAAAACTGGTATTACGATCTATTCTTTTCGTCGTGGTACAAATAGTCGAATAAATAACGAATAGAACTGACTGAGAACGCTTTATTCTCGAGTTTATTATTTCGATACATTGAGTATTTCAAATTCTGATTACTATGTTTCTATTTATCGTTGAAGATATTTATCTAAATAAATATTTTACTCGTACATATTTTCCTGATCGCAAGCACTTCTGAAAACGCAGGAAAGGTACTTTATGCAACGTTCAGGAAAGACACGTGGACGTTTTTAATCGTATTTTTAGTCCTCATCGATGCTCACCTGGTGCATTAAACCAAGCAAATGATGCATCGAGTTGAAATGTCACTTCAAATGCCACAAAGTTGTTATTTAGTCACCCGTTTACGTCATTAGATCGATAACTCATAATAACGACGCTCTGTCGTAAGCAGACACGAACCAGCGGAGTTGACCAATAGGAGAATTATGGCAATAATAAAGCTAATACAAAACGAGTGGTTTCTTATCGAGCGTGTTCCGCCATAAGGCGACAAGGTTCCTGTCACTCGGCGATAAAAGGAATTAGACAGGTAAAACAGTCCATTGGATCAAATCTAATTAGCAGCGCTATTCAACCAGCTAGTAGAATTTTTATAGCTAGGCGATCCTGAGCTATAAAATAGCTAGTAACATACTATCCAATTTTCCAATTTGTATCGCCACGGCTTATAATAATATTTAAGGTATACTTGCTAGATACGTTGGTTAAGTATTATGCGAGTAAAATCTTAATCAAGTAAATGCCATATAAATATATTCTATAAATTCATATCTATTTTGATTTAATAATCTGTACAATTTTTTTGTATTTAATTTTTCGAACAAGGGATATTTGTTCAACGTTTATTTGCGATTCCGCTATAGTTTCTATTTGGTTTCTGTTATCGTTTCCCTGTTGACGGGGCTTTATTCGAATGGTAAACTAACTCTGGGTAGCAGGTTAATTAATTGCATCCTCGTTTCGACGCAAATAACAATAGGTCGTAACAAAACCGGAGGGAAAGGTACACAACGGTGACCTTTTCGCAAGTTAGTTTCCCACGCGTGGGTGCCACCCACCGAGTGGCAAACTGGTTCGTCGATAACGATCAGACCCTAACAGAAGTCTCCACTTCGATAATAAAATCACGACCGATGGTGGGATCGATCGACCATCGCGATTATCGATCTGTTTTGGATGCAACGAAAAAAACTTTCGCAGGCTAAATCGAGAAATTACTCTAACAATTCTCGAATTGTTTATTAGGCATCCCTCTTAAAAATAAAAGATGTTTTAAGCTATTCATAATTAACTCAGTACTTTTTTTTATTTTTTCAAACACACTTCGTCCAACTAGAAAACGCACGAAATCACGATAGATTCTCGCGTGTCTAAAAAATACTAATACTGCACAAACACTTCTCAAACTATTTTTTCCATGATTCATTAAGCCTCTAATAATTAAAATCAATCGCCTCCAAGTAAAACTTAAGAAACATGAAGACATTAAATTAATCGATACCACTTCTTAAAATTTTAATATAATTGAGAAATTAGAGAAGGTGAATCGTTTCGTGTTGCGAATATGATGTTAGTCTCCACAAATTGTTTTATCTGACTCACCTGGAAGAAAAGAGAGGGCCCGTCGCGTGTGCAGTGCAATTGAGCGTTCAGGAAGCACTATAACTTTCGGATCAGCGACTGTTATCGACGCGTGACGGATGTACGAATGATTCGCGTGACGGGAAGATGCCTGTCATTTGGTCTGTCGACGACATTAGATACGCCGGCCAATGCGTCCTCAGGGTCTATTAATTTTGTCCGCAAGGAGAGAGGTCTGCTTAGAGCCGTATCGAATGCATCTGAAATGCGTTCCGAGATAGATTCGGCGACAGAATGCGGAGCAAGGCTTTTCACATCCGATATGCGACCACGTCCGCGTGCATGCGTTCAATGTTAACCGTGAGAACGTACTCTCGACGATAACAGGCACGCCTAAAACAAAATCGTAATGCTTTGTCTGCGAGTATTGGTAATTAGGATCGATCATCTTCGATGTCACTTTTCTGCTTTCGAATGAAAAATGATTTAGGAAGACTATGAACAATTCTACCGTTGCTTTGATTATTTGTATATTATAGTATTTAAGGTGGTAAATGCTACAAGGTGCGTTAAAATATATAATAGAATATCGAATACACACGATAAGATAGCTACAAGATTAATAAATAATAGAACAATTAGAATTTTTGTTTATCTGGAACAAAATGTATAGAACATTGATGCGTGTTATAATTAAATATTAACAGTTTCGCTGCGGATGACACACATGTGCGTTCAACTGAAAATATATGGTTGTTTTTATTATTTTTTAGTTTTCATTTTTTTTTGTTCGGCAATCATATTATATATGAAATAAGTTACCACAAATATATGTTTTTCAAAATGATCATATTAGAAGATTTGTAAGAAATTTTTCATTAAAAAGAATATCATAATTGCAGCACCCAGCGAACGGCTACTTATTTTCGTCCGCAATGGAAATGTTAATATTAAGGTGGTAAATACATAATGTATTAAAATATATAATAGAATATTGAATACGTTCCACGACAAGATAGCTACAAGATTGATAGATAATAGAACAATTAGAATTTTTGTTTATCTCGAACAAAATGAATAGAATATTGATGCCTGTTATAATTAAATATTAAAGCTTCTAGATAAGACTCCAAATTATAATACGTAGGATTAATAACGCTTCAAATTTAATTTACAAAGTTCGCCAAGTTTTCTCCAACTAACAGGTCAACCTTTCTCTTCGTTCGGATACCACACCGTAATTACATAAAGGGGGTACTTTAATATACCTAATCAGACCAGTTCTTGCTTTCCACCATAATTATTCGATGAAGCTATACTATGATAGATTGATAACCAGATGGAAGTCCCACTCATCTGGCTTAATAAAACCGTATTATAATAATTGACATTCCAACGGGATATTTAATACCGTGTAATGATATTGCGTTTAATACTTAATGCGTTAAAATAACGCGAAACAGTGGCAGTCGCGGAATAATGAGCGGAATTGAACGGGGAACAGATCGCGGAATTCCATTCGTGCGGTTCCAGCGGTCCGAATCGCGCAGATTCCGAGGATTTTTGGTTCTCCGACTTCCGTTAGATATTTACACGAACGATTCTTTGGTATTCCACTTCCTCTGTATAATTATATTCACCCCTAACCCTCGCGGGAATTCCATTGGTCCGTTCGAACGATTTTTGGCCGCCCCTTTGGGTTAGGTTTGGGTTAGAGTGGCTACCATTCTTTCTTAAATGGAGGTCTAAACACATGCTCGTACTTTAGTATTAATTACTAACATTCCTGTCGTGTTCTTTCAAAAGAGGCTTGTATATACATTAATAACTACCATTTTAGATAACTAGTAAATTTAAATATATTTTATCCTCTGGATGTTTAACATGCATTCTATTTTCATATTTTATATATTCATGCATTTGTACAGATCCTTAAATATTGGAAAATATTTACACTCGTCATCGATGCATAAATATCTTCAGTCTAATGATAACCTTCCAAAAATCTTCCCCTGAAAACTCTTCCTAACACACCCTCAAAAAGACCCACCTCTTCTCTGATCATTTTCTCATTCTAAACCCCTCCCATCAAAATTTAAATAATTGCGCATACTACCAACCCCAAATCACACGCCAATTTCGTTTATGATTGATACAAATCGCCAATGAGCGTTTAATGGGACCAGGAGAATAGTCAGACGCATTCATCACATCGTTTCGCCTCTTCCATCTCCATGATCGATTGTCAAACGTATCTCGACGCTTTTGTGCCGCGAGCATCGATTCACGCGATCGACTCATTCACCAATCGTAAAACTTCTCACGATTCTCGGCGTTGTTCCGATAGAAAAAGTTACCCATTGATCGTTTTGCTGTCGCGCAAGCGCTGACAATGGTTCTTTCTTTCTTCGATCATTCATGACCGGAAGTACGCGTCCATTATCAGGAACCACGACGAACTGCTTCCAGGTATCGTTGACGATATATTCGAGCCAACAAAGGGAGGGAAAATAAAATTCCACGCGCGTCACGGTTGCGGTTTATAAGCGGACGACATGTGAACGCGTCTCGCGTGACTCTTTGTCCGGCTTCGACCATGGGGGCTCGCGAGGCCGAGTCCTCCTCTTCCCTCGAGATTTGGATCTTGTTTCATCTTCGTGGACAAACGTGTCGCAATTACAGGAATTACGGTAAACCCCCTCTCGTTGATCCGGATGCTGCGTTAGCTGATAGAGTTCCAGTTTTAAACCCCTTTGAAGAGGGAGTATCGACTCCATTCTGTAGAGATAAATTTATATTGTAAGGGTATATTTAGGTGGTCCATTGTTTGTTCGTAATTTTTTAGAGGGAATTTACGATTCCTTGTTCATTTCTCTCTATACAACATTGTATGTATTCTTTAAGAATTTTTTATATCCAACATGAATCAAAACTGATTTTTTACATTGTGATACTTAATAAATTCCTTGCATACAGGATCATTGTACGGGTAAGTACATATTGGTGAATCAATATTTATCTAGAATAAGTAGATCTATCTCTCTTCAGATTTTCTTCTGAATATTACATTGAAAAAATATTGCGGAACTGCATCAAGAATTCTACTTCGATTGTAATTTATTTAATTAAAAATGGCCTGCGTAATTTTCGTAAAGACGTAGTTTCCTTTATCGTGGAGCATTACTCGCCACTGCCATAAACGAACGAGATAAACACGCGCGTGATTTATTCTAGGAATAAGAAACTTATGTAAATGGTTGAGCAATTGAATGTCAATGCTGCAGACCTAACCCACTGCACTTCTTGACACTGCTCGATTCGTCTGCTTATCACGTCCTCCATACAAGGAACAGGTAAGAATTCAAATTTACACCTGCAAATTTACACGATAAATAGCACTTTGAGTTTCTTGAGAAACCTATTCGACTTATTTAACCGGTGGTCCGAAATTGGTGGGACTATCTCGAGCAGAATTTTGTTTAGTCTCATATGGAACATTTCCTCTTGGACAGGACGTCCATTCCGCGATCGAGGATCGCACGGAAACTTATAAATTTCGATTCATATTTTTGTTTACGCTGTTTCGAGTGCTCCTCTCGCGAGTTCGCCTCTGTAAGTCGTCGGTAGGCGAGAAATATTTTTAAACGATCGAGGTTCGAGACGTTTCCGCCATCGATCCGCGCGTGCAGAGGCTCCGCCATTGAGATTTACCAGCGCTAAATTTAAATTGAATTGACACGCGGGATTATTTACGTGCCACTCAACCCAGATCAACGATGGAGTGTTTCGCACCCAGTGCATTCGAATTGTCGATGGGATGAATGCGGGATAAATTATTCCTTTGCTCGGAAAATGTTCGACAATTACAAATGAAAAACTCGATTACTCTTAAAAAGAGCAATGCTTTCGAGTGGGATTAACAGGTAATTCTTGATTGAGTGTAAAGAGCAATATTCCACTTAAAAGAGTCTTGAATATTCGCATGCTTTAGTTAGGACTTAAAAAAACATTCTACAACCCACAGAGATATCCACGTTAATAGCACTTCAAAGAGCCTGAAAACACTGTACAGTGATTTCTCGCGGTTGTTAAATGTTATTTCGGCTAGCAAGTCGACTCAGCTGTTGCGTTTGTAAAAAGATGCACGAAAATTTCGCGACGCAGACGGTGGATTCTTGGCGTTTTTATTTCATTTCATTCGCAAAACAAGTGACATTCGCACGAGTAGGGAAGTATTCTCGCAGAGTATTCTCATCGTCCAAGGTCACGCGAGATCTGAAAATACGCCCATGAAGCGATCGCGCGAGTCGAAATAGCGACGCTGTTCGCGGATGTATTTTTATAAACGCGAGGGATGTGGCGGGAGGCGGGGGTGTACACCTCCAGCGTCTCTTTTCGCAAAGTAAAGATCAAAGACCCCGTCTCCCACGAGGACTTTTGCCCACGACGATTCTCGAGAGTTTCACGCGTGACTTTACACGCGAACCGATCGCATCGAGCATGTCTCTCGAGAATTCATCCCCTGAAAGGGAAGCTGGCATCAGAAACTTAAGTTGAAACAAATTTTGTTTTCATTTTATCGAGGAGAATATCAAATTAATCCTTAGAAACCTTTTAAAAGACATATTGCACTCACTAAACCTGAATTCTATCGAAGAGGTCTCTTCTAAGACCCAATGGTATGATTAATTGATTTCATGAATGAAAAAGTCAACCTTCCACTAGTGGCATATGATTTTATGATAGCGAAACTATCAGTCTTTAGTTTACGTGATGCAAAATCATGCTAAATAGTGACCTAAACTCTTGAAAAAATAATTGTGGTCACCAAACCTGAATTCTATCGAAGAAACCTTCCTCTAGTACACAATTATACAATTACCAAATTTTGTGAATAAAAAACTCACCCTTCCCTTTTGGAGAAACAATTTTATGATAGCGAAACTATCAGTCTCAAGTTTACGTGATGCGTGACTAAGAGTGAACTAAACGCTTGAAAAAAAAAAAACCTGAATCATATCCAAGAAGCCTTCTGCAGTACACAATTATCTAATTACTCAATTTCATGAATGAAAAAGTCATCTCTCCACTATTGCCATACGATTTTACAATAGGAATACTATTAACCTTTAATTTATGTAACACAAAATCATGCCCAATAGTGATCTAACCCCTTAAAAAAAATTCTAATCGCTCGAGATGAAGTTCTAAAATACGAATCTAATCTCTGAACCACTTCTCGGTTCACCTTTCTCTCCAAAGATGTGGACTCCCGACTAAGAGGAACTCCATCGACGGATCGTTTCGACCCAGTTCGCGAAAATCGTACGGATCGGCGAGTTCCTTCGAGCCAATAATAATATTGACGCCAGCAGCGATGAAAAAATAAAGCGAGCCCAGCTGCCGGCGGACTGTTGAACGTAAGGAGCCACGTTTTCGACCATTCGCGCGTTAAAAATACGAGAGAGGCATTATACACCGCGCGAGAAAAATTTCCAGCTAGCGAGTTTCCCGTCCGCGCGATTTTTATTCGCGAGGATTCGGCCATCCGACCGGCATCGCCTCTTAATTCTTACGTTTTCTTTCACGAGAGCCTCCTGAGAGGATTACGAGTTCGCGCGGAGCGAACTGCCCGATACCAAAGGCGATTTCACGGTTATAATTCTTTTATCTGCTCGAGACCTCTGACCCAACCGTGTATTCGGCGTTAAGGAAGCGAGATGCAGTTGTACACTTTTATTCCCAGCTCTTCGAGGTAATCGTCGTAGAGAATAGAGACGAGGGTCCCTGCTTCTCGATCTTGAGTCGAGAGGGACGCAGGCTTAACCCTTCGGCTGGAAATTAATTTTACCTCTTAGGAGAAGGGGAGAGCTGGGAGAATTGCCATTGTGAAAAAATAGCGCGGTAGAATTGTATGGTTTCGTGTTTTATGAGAATTTTTCTGCAAAACATTTTCTAGTTGGGCGGATGGTAGAATTGCGAAGAAGATGTCTTGTCTTTGAGTTTCTGTAACGGAGGACTATGGGAAAACTTTGTTTATATTATTAGTGTATGTAGATTGTAGTAGAGAAGACTTTCCACGTCGTCAAAGTTAAAAAGGAAAGATAGAAAATGAAGTAGGAAAATAGATTTATATAATAGTGGCTACAGAAAGTGGTTCGACTTAAAAATAACCCTATTCGCAATTCCGCTCTTACACCAGCAGATGATTTATATTAAAGAAAACATTTTATTACAAGGAAATCATTTAGCTACCAAGTTTTCGATGTGTTCCACATGTTGAACAAACTACATTCCTAAGGAGTGAGTCAGTTTCTGTTGCCACTATTATACTCCGAAATTCTTCTGGCAAAGGCCATCACCGAGAACGAAGCTTCCTACGAAACTGATCGGAAAACATCAATGTCATCAACATCGGAGTCGTTAACGATCTGTACTCGCGATACACCAGGAAAAACAAGGAACTCGATAACATCTGCTCTGAAAGCGACACGATGACGATTGCATCACGAGATTTTTGCATCGTTACCAGTTTCAAAATTTCCGCAGATACGACGATTATACCACTCTATTCCTGTATCACTGTTTTGCGTCTTCCGCAGCGGGCGCAGTCCGATGAAATTAAACGGAGATGAATAAGATTTGATCTCGCCCCGGATCCCTTCGGATCTCTTACGCATCAACGACGATCGTGCTCGCGAAACATCGCGTATTGGCACGACCCTAAGTCGTTGTTTATCCGCGCTGGTATGAGAACGGGGTGTATAATTTAAACGAGTGGATTTTGGCGAAGCGCGAGATCCGCCCGCTTGAATTATTTACGAGACGCGAGATCTATTAATCCTACTCGCGGCCGGCGCCGCGATTTTCCATCGGGACTTTGAACACCGCCTTCTTCCGGTTGCCAGCGAGGCTTCCAAATCGACGATAACCGAGCAACGAAACCATCGACCGGGGAATGAGTCGATCACCTTCGTTGATTCACGAACTTTGGGTGCAAAATGAAGTTTTCAAGGAAAAAGTCGTGTTCAATTATTTTTGTATAGCGATTTATGTGAACAGTAATTAATTATGTGGGGGGAGGGGACGTTTCTTTGTATGTTTGGGAGGAAGGACTATTCTTGATTTTATTTGAAGACTATGTTATTATATATATTTTATTTTGCGTATCTGGAGGATGAAAGTAGCCCTTGCTTCTCAATCTATGTAATTAAGTATTTTTTTTAAAGATATCCAATCTTAGTTCTTTGATTATATATGAATATTTTAACACACACACACACACGCGCGCACGCACGCACGCACACACACACACACACACATCGATATAGTGTGAATATTTGTTAATCAATCATTGAATTCATTTAATATTCACTGCTTGAAGAATTGAGATTGGGAATACTTCTTCGAACCTACACTAATTTTTTCGATTCAATTAGGTCACTCGTGAATCTCCGATCCCCCTACCCCTGGAAATACATTGATAGCCCCGTGCAGATGGAAGGTCAACAAAATAAGTGCATCAAGCCTGTGGAATGCAGTCGAGCGAAGAATAACTCGAAGAAATTCGAGAAAAACTCGGCCAGAGAAACTTTTATTTCTGGCCTATGGAGAATCAGACGTGCAGAAGTATCTTCAATGAACATGGCTACCTACTTCAATTTGTACTTGACGAATTCCTTTGTAAAAAATAAAGAAACTTTCACGCGATCCTCTACAAGTTCTTTTATTTTGAATATCAATCACTTGATGATTTCTATCTAATCATACAATCTAAACAAAACCAAACTAAACATCATCCAACAGGGTATTATACCAGAGAGAACAGTTAACCAAACAATCACTCGACCACTTCAACTGGATTTTACCAAAAAGTGAGAATTCATCCAACGAAAACAGTAAAACTATAAAATCTTTCAATTCTGTATCAGAATCGTATCAATCATCAAGCTCGGAGTAAAGTAAAGGTAAACGCTCAACAAAAGCCAAGGAAAATCGTGCCAGGTGTATGATCGACGCCAAAAGGCCTAAACTTTGTACTCGGTTCGAATTAACGTGTTCCTCGACGACGATTTGTCACGGTAAGAGAAGCCAGCCGCTCTAGAACACTCGTACACCTACCCAAACACGCGTTTCCTGCCGTCCATCCGCGAGTACCGCGGGAACGACTGCGCAGTTCGTAAAAGTTTCATTGCGTAACACACTTTTTTCCACCATTTCTCTGCTGGTATTTTCGAGTCGCGTCCCGGTGCCAGATGTCGCATACTTTGACGCGTTCCGAACAAACGTCGGACGAAAGTATGCACACGTGCTTCTTGTTCTTATTTTTCGAACGGGATCGGAGAAGATCGAGAGAGGGTACTTTTCTTGGCGAACACTTTCGATCGGGTTGATGTTGAGGTTTTCAAGTGGATATAGAAGGGTAGAAGCTCGGAAATTTTAGGTGGAACTTTGGTAGGGTCTGGGGTGTAATTTGGGAAGGTTTAGATGCAAGTTGAACCACTTGGGGATTGTGAAATTGAAGTGAATTGAGTGAAGGTTCCTCGGGGGTGACTTTGTGCCTAAAATCGAAAATGCCACGTTAATTTTTTGTTGGCAAAGTATGTGAATTTTGTTGTATGTCTGTATGTTTATACATTACGAGCAAGTCATGACATTCTTCAGGACTTCTGACATTCTAAACTCTTCCCAGGAAATAGTTTTTAAGAGATGCGAAGTGAAATGATCATTTCTTCTCGAAAGCTATCTCCTTTTAAAATATTTGAAATATAATAATATGGACGTAACTCGAGCAAAGATTCATTTTAAATTCATTTTAAATATCATTCTAAGATTCATTTTGAATTATTGCCATCAAGATCAGCATTGCCTGGTGTTCTATCCTTGCGTCGAAACGAATAAACAGATGCAATAAAAATGTGTTGTCAGCTCGAGAATCGATCCCTTGGCTGCGCAGTCGGATTCTATTGTTCGTGAGAATGTTTACAAATGAATGCATGAAAAAGATCAAGCCCTTGGCATGGTATGACACTAAATTTTGATGTTTACGGTCAGTCTCAACTGTTACAAAAGAACGTTTCAACGCCAATCTACGGGTGCACTTCAAATAATAAACAATGAATGCTACAAAAAGCTACAGGTAAATTCTGTTCTAAGTAATACAACGTACAAGTAACTATCGTAAATAAATATTCAGAACAAAGTACTTCGACCATATAAAATGATGCAAGACGAACAGTTACATACTTTAATCTGTGATTGGCTTCCGTTGTTTTAATAAGGAATATTTTACACGATTCTTTATAAATCGAGTCATTTACCTTGAAACTCAATTACGTCATGAATGAATGAATAGCCAAAAAATGATTTCTATCTAACCAAGCAATCTATACAGAACCAAACTTCATACAACGGATCATTAAAACTGTAAGTGCCTATTCCTGAAAAGACCAATTAACCAAACAATAACTGGACCACTCTTGCTCGATGTTGCCAAAAACTACAATTTTCGCATATGTGATACCCTCGTGAAAAAAAATTATGCAAACATTCCAAAGGCCTTAATAATTCCCCTAATTTTTCTGATAAGGATTCCACGACACAACTAACCGATTGGGACCTTCCAATTGGACATTCGACGACGTATTCGCGCCCGGTGAATCATGCTCGAGTCGTTACCTGGTGAACAAAGGAGGAATATTTTCCTTCGCTAAATGAGCGTCTCCGCGAGTCCTCGCGACGGCTAACAATATGCGCCAGCCTAATAATACCCACCCCGATGACTACACAAATTTGGAGTCCACGAGATGCCATTCCAACGCAGAAGGTGAATGCTAGAGAGTGCATCGCGAGCGGTTTATTTCGTTCGGGCCGGCCAGACTCACGGTCGTTGTCTATTAAGTCGTGCTTCTATCACGTCCGACGTAGCGTCTTCATTTTTCACGCGTCCGAACACTGCCAAGAATTATAAATTCAAAACGAGCCACAAAACCAGAATGCGTCTCTCTCATCAAATTCCGTCCTTGATCCGTCGCGGGACCATAAATCCCACGAAGGAGGGGGTTGGACCACCGCACTTTTCTATTTCCAGATTTTCGAGGAGCGTTTCATCCTAACGCCAAGATCGCACGAAACGAGAGAAGACCAGATATCTCAGGCAGGTCGCTCGAGCACGCCTAGGTTTCTCCGTTTATCATTCGCGCGGATGATGCATCGTTCGTGCTCAACGATGCATCATAACGCGCCTTAATTATTCCCATAACTATGAATCTTGGGGACCGGGCCTTCCGAGGAAAGTTAAATGGTGTACGACGAGCTCTTTTATGGCGATGGCGAGAGCCTTTCGCTGGAGGTGGTACACCTTGGTATCGTCACTTTAATTGGACCATCAGCTCCCTGCGGAGTTGCTAGATTACGTTTCTTTTTAGGTCGTGGATGTGCGATGTAGCTTGAATCGTTGGCGAGGTGGTTGGAGATGTGGGTTACGTTTGGAAGGCTGAGGATTCGTTCTGTCAGTCGTAAGCTCGATCAGACTTTGATGGATAGTCTTGAGGCCCTAGAGGCTAGAGACCTTAGAAGTTAGAGACCTTACAGGCTAGAGACCTTAGAAACTAGGGGCCTTAGAAGCTGGAGGCCTTAGAGTCTTAGGTTCTTGAGGCTAGAGGCCTTAGTGGTTAGAGGTGTCCTCAGAAGCCAGAGGCCTTAGAAGCTAGAGGCCTTAAAGACTAGAGGCTCTTGAGGCTAGAGGTCCCAGAGGCTACCGAAACAAAGGATTCTTATTTGGTAACACCTGCTTCGTGGGCTTAGGGGTCTATAACCTTCCCTTTTCTAACCCAGACCTAAGCCTTTCTATTTCCTTGTTAATCATCAAGGTAGAATACTTATGAAAGAACCAACAAAAGTTCACAATCTTCTGCCTGAGGAGGTTGCACTCGATAGCCAACTGCTATGAATCTACTGACTATCATTAATTCAGATGTATAAGATAACATTCGACAAGCACATGGCACGATACGATCAGGACCTCAAAGAGAAAAGTATGTTGGCACGAAGCAAGCCTTCGATAGACGACGACACACTGATCTTCTCTAAAAACTAAGATACCACACGTACTTCCTTCAATGTCACCCTTCAGTATACTCATTTGGAGATACACCAAGTCTCGATTGATGAAACACCCTACATGCAGAAGACACATTCTTGAGAGTACTATCGACGAGTGCATCGAGGGTCATCGCTATATTTACGAAAACAGAATAATTTAACCTGTCTCAAGTACGTGCAGAGACTGACTGTGATTGACAGAGCTTCAAGGAAGGTGAGTGACTTTCGATTGACAAGTATTAAAGTCAGTGTCGAGTTTCATCTACTTGTTTCGGTGCAGCCAAGCGACGATCTTTGGTTTTCTTAGAGTCACCATTTTTGGCAAAGATGAAGAGTCTTGAGCGACAGGAGAATTGAAATCTTCATTCTACGTGAAGGCATAAACTCTCAGGTCGGGTTTGTGGACCTAAATGAGGCTTGAAATTAATGTTTGGATTCATGAACCAGTGTCCACGAGGGAACCTGTCTGAGATCATGACCTGGACAAGCTCTTTGAATGAAACACTTGTCAACTACTTTTAACAAACGTCACTGCAGGGTTTAGATCCTGTAGTCTCAGCGATGAAAGGATTAGTGCGTGAATTGGTGCGTCGTTTGCCTCTGTGTAAGGATGTCCCCACGGCTGATCCAATTATAGAGTGACAAATACAACCATCCACTAGCTGAAATACGTACTTATTATTTTACAGTGGTTTTAATGAAAGTAGAAGGCTGTCATTAATCATCTACCGACCTGTAGATTCTTTATCTCCCTTAGTTATCTGTGATCAAGACACGTTTCACTCCATTTAAGTTCATTCTAACTTTAAAAGATTACCAATAGAAATTGTTGCAGTCTAAATCTTTGACCTGACCGAGAATGTCTTCCAAGGTTCGACTGTGCGACGCTGGGCACGTGGACCGGCCGGTTCTCACGAAATTGCGGAAGGTTATCGAAGGTCTGGATGGTTAACGACGTTGGGAACGGATATAGTGCATTAGTTTCTGCACGACCTCCGCTATTTCCATCGACGGAGCCTTCGAGCAGGCTTCGCGTCGACGTTGCTCCTATTTAAAACAAGCAACATTACGGTGCATCCGCGGCTCGAGCAACAGGCCTTCACTCTTGTGTCACTCTTCTATTTCCAGAGGCCTAGCGCGACTTTCGGCGTCGTGATAGGCGTTCGTGTCCTTTTCGTCTTTTTCACCAAAATTGTTCAAAGAAATTCAGATTGACTTTTGTGAGAATGGCTCTGTAGCATGTAGATATAGCATTTAAAAAAATAGTTGAACTTGGAGCCGGACGTAACGTTGTGGTTGTTCAAGTAATACATAATATATTTTGGAGGAGGTTCTTATCAAGAACTGTGTGGAAATATTTTCCAACTGACCAGACTAAGCTTGAGGCAGGGCTTGGCGTCGAAGAGGTCATTGGACCCTGTGTGTTCAGGAATAGTGAAAAAGGAGAGACTATTTTTGGAGAATAATAATAATAGAATATTAGAGAATCAGAATCAGAGTCAAATCGTTGCCTAATACAGTTTCAATCGATTCCATAAGCTGGAACACTCGATATTCGTGTTTATGTGAAACCGACGCCAACGCTATTTCAGCGATCTGAAACCTTTAGAAAACGTTTGATAACGTACTGAACACGTAGAATTGTATCAGGGTCTAAGTCGGAGTCTGAATCTCAGAATC